GAAGGGAGATGCCAGCAGCAAAGACACATGGCTTTCTGCTTTTCTGGGGGCAAAAAAATAGTAATTGTTGTGCAATAATGAGCAGGCAGTGGAAAGACATCAAGTTGTCTCTCTTGTTACTTCTGTTCTTGGAGACTTGGTTATCTTTGAAATGTAGTCAGGCTTATCACAGGGGATGTGATTTTTGCTCCTGTGATATTGTTTTGGGCAGGAAATGAAGGCCTGGAGTTTACTCCCTGCCCTCTTGCCTGGGAGCTTCTCAGGAATGCCTTCAGGCTATAAAAACAAATTCTAAATGCTGTGAGCTGGTGAATGTGAAGAGAAAGTTTTACATTTCATTTCTTTTGGCTCTTTTTTGATGTTTATGAAAACAAAGTCATCATAGAGAGCTCACAGGATTGATCTTTAGCTGTCATTAGAAAATTAGGGGATTGGATATTTTCCTGTTATATCAGCAAGGTATTCCTTAAAGTTTGAAAATCTGTAATAACTTTAGGCTTTTAAAGACCTCATAGTATCTACACTTGTAATATACCATTTCTTTTACTTTAAATTCTGATTGGTGTCAGAGTGATGGTAAAACTTAGCTGACATCATGATACTATCAAAATGTTTTCTGTGGCATGTTTAACATCTGTAGAGCTGCCGGGAAGATAACTGTCATCATAATTTCCCCACACGACCATTGTTAGATTTGTCAAAAAAAAAAAAACAAAAAAAAACCAACTTCACAGGCCAGGGAGAGAGATGAGATGGCGGATGACAAACACCTGCAGCCAGAGTGTCTGTGCAAGAAAGAAAGATTTTTGATGACTGTGAAAAAAACAAACAGGCAGACAATCAAAGATTGGATGAGGGTCAGAAGGAAGGGTGCCTGAACCTACAGGAGACACCATGAGAAGATGTTGTGGAGCAGAACTGGAAGGAGAAAGGCATCAGCAGGGTCTGAACCCTGAGAGGCTTGGAAACACGTGGCAAGGGTAGGTGGAGAGGTTAAATTTCCCCTCCCTTGCATCTAGGACTGCTGGTGGAGTCCTGAGATGATGGAGAAACCTGCTGACACCAGCCCAGAGATGACTGCCTCCTGTGAGCAGTGCAACTCTTGGGGAAAGAGTACTGGGCTCCTAGTTTCCTCAGGGCATGTCTCACCCCACAGACCTGAGCCGATTGGCAGGCAGAATATTGCTTCATTCTCTTCTTTTTCTCTCCTACCTGTGGCTGCCAAGAGAGACAATTTAGCCAAAGGCTAAAGGCATCCACAGAAAATGGGACCTTTTTCATTTGGGGCTCTGCAACAGACTGAGGGGTACTCAGATGGTGAGCTCCCTACCTGCCGGCCCTCCCTGGTACTGCTTGCCTGGTGACTCCAATAGAATGGGGCGAACCCTGAGACAGAGAGACATTGATCCATCTTGGGCACCCCGTGAGTTACGTGACACCAGCATTCTTTTCTTTGGCAGAGTCAGTAATTGATATCCAGGGCCCAGAGGACAGGCCTGCAGGCTAAATCTTGTACAAGCCGGTTTCAGTTGAATTGCCCAGGGGCACAGAAGAGGTATTTGTGAAGTAGCCTACTGAGGTACATGTCTCTTCAGGGGCAGATCTGAGTGGGTCCTAGATCTCAGCGTGCTCAAGAGGCAACCCTCCTGCCAAAAAATAGCCATGCTCCCAGCTCATGCCATGATGCTTGGTAGGGAACATCCTGGCTCATGTTATAACCAGAGGAGCTTGCTGGCTTGAGGTTCTGCCTGGCAACAGAGGCCCAGCAAAAACTGAAGAATAGGGGTGGGTGGAAAGAAGCGAGGCCTGCTCCAGACTGCAGGTCTCAGATAGCCTCACCTTCACATGCAGATTTTTTGGCTTAGTGGGGCCATTTCAGCCCCTCCTGGCAGCTTTGCCCAGAAGCAGAGAACAGACATTTGACTCCTGCTAACAGGATTTGTGGAGCTTGAGCACAGGCTCTTTTAACCTAGCCTCAACCAGCCTCACTCCCTCATCCCCCTTGCTAAGCTGGAGAATAAGGACACACCTGGAATTCTTAGAACCCCACCAACCACCTGAGGCACTAGAGTGCCTCTCCAGAGGAATGAGAGCTAGTTACAGGACCCAAAAACATTTTAGCTTGCTACTCCCAGCAATCACCACCTACTGACAGGGTAGTCGATTTGTTTTACTTACTCATCATGCAGTGTGGTTGAATCTCACCCACAACACCTACTGCCTTAGAGACTAAATTGGGTGTGTCATTATCTAAATGAAAATCCAAAGGCGAGAAGCAACAGCCACTCCAGATGTGAAGGAATCAGCAAAAGAACTCTGGAAGTATGAATAATCAAACTGAAAGGACACACCAAAAGTGGAACACCAGCACTCCAGCAATGGATACCAACCAAATTCAGAAAGGACATAAGAAGGACATAAAAGGACATAAGAATAATTTCAAACACGTATTGTAAGAAAACTCAATGATATGCAAGAGAAAATGGACCACAACATAAAGAAACTAAAAAAAAAAAAAAATCCAGGACTTAATAAAAATTCACTTAAAGAAATTGAAATATCAAAGAAAAATCAAACAGAACTTCTGGAAATGAAAAATTTATTCAAGGAATTACAAAACACAGTGGGAAGCCTCAAGAATAGGGTAGCTCAAACACAAGAAAGAATCTCAGGGATTGAAGATAACACCTTTGAATTAAACAAGTCAGTTGCAGAGATAGAGCAGAGAAATAACAGAAAAGAGCAAAGGCTATGAGAAATGTGGGATTGTGTGAAAAGGCCTAACATAATAATTACAGGCATCACTGAGGGTGAAGAAGAAAATATGCAATGGCTGGATAAACTATTTGAGGATATAATGGAGGAAATTTCCCTTTCCTTGCTAGAAATCTAGATATTCATGTACGAGAAGCTCAGAGGACTCCTGGGAGATTCATTGCAAGCAGGAAGACACCATAACACAAAATCATCACAGAGGCCAAAATAACCATGAGCTGTAAGGTGAAAGCAGCAGGCTATCTACAAAGGAAATCCATCAGACTAACTGCAGACTTCTCTACTGAGACCTTACAAGCCAGAAGAAACCTGAGAATCCATTCTCATTCTTCTCAAACACAATAATTCCCAGCCTAGAATCTTGTCTCCTGCAAAAAAAGAAAGTTTCCTATATGATGAGAAATAAAGACCCTCTTAGACAAGCAAATACTGAGGGAATTCATCAAGACAAGACCTGCCCTACAGAAAGTATTCAGAACAGTGTTACATACATATCAACACAATAATGACCAGTGCAAAATCATCCAAAAGCTAAAGGACAAAGACCAGATATCACAATGGCGAGAGAGAGACAGGGAAAAAAAGCAACAAAGTTCAACTCAATAGGATGAACAGAAATCTGCCCCACTTATCAAATATTTCAATAAATATGAATGGCTTAAACTGCCCACTAAAGACACATGGGCTGGCCGAATGGATAAATATACACCAGCCAAGTATCTGCTGTCTACAGGAAACATGTCTGGCCCACAAGGATGCATTCAGACTCAAGGAGAAGAGATAGAAAACAATATTCCATGCAAATGGAAGCCAAAAGAAAGCTGTCATAGCTGTTCTCATTTCAGACAACTTAGTCTTCAAATCAACAAAAGTAATGAAACACAAAGATGATTACTACATAATGGTGAAGGGTACAATTCAACAAGAAGACATAATAACTCTAAAGATTGATGCACCTAACTCAGGTGGACCCAGATTCACATACCCTACTTGATCTAAACAAAATGATAAACAGCAGCACTGTAGTAGTCGGGGACTTCAACACCCCTCTGACAAAACAGGACAGATCCTCCAAACAGAAAATAAAGAAACTATGGACTTAAACAGAACTCTGAACAAATGGGCCTTATTGAAATTTACAGAACATTCTACCAAAAAACCATGGAATATATGTTTTTCTCATCAGCTCATGGGACATTCTCTAAGATTCACGATATCCTAGGTCAGAAACCATGTCTCAACAAATTTAAAAAAATAGAAATGATACCATGCATCTTCTCAGACCACAATGGAATAAAATTAGAAATCAGCTCCAACAGAAATTCTCATCTTTATACAAACTCCTGCAAACTAAACAATCTTCTGCTGAATGATTATTGGGTTAAGGAGGAAATTAAAATGGAAGCCAAAGAGTCTTTGAACTAAATGACAAAGGGGACACAAGTTATCAAAAATCTGTGGGACACAGCTAAAGCAGTCCTCAAAGGAAAATTTGTATCCACAAATGTCTACATGCAAAAGACAGAAAGATCACAAATCAACAATCGAATGAATTGTCTTGAAGAACTGAAAAAGGATTGGTAAACCAAGCCCACACCCAGCAGAAGAAGCAAAGATCAGAGCAGAACTAAATGAAATCAATAAGGAAAAAGTATATAGAAGATTAATAATACAAAAAGTTTGTTCATTGAAAAAATAAACAAAATTGACACTCCTCTTGCTAGATTAATGAGAAGCAGAAAAGAAAGGACTCTATTAAGCTCAATCAGGAATGTAAAAGGAGAAATTACAAATGATACCATGGATACAAAATATCATCTGTGAATACTATAAAAACCTCTATGCACATAAATGTGAAAATGTGGAGGAAATGGAGAAACTGTTAGAAACACACAGCCACCCTAGGCTCAATCAGGAAGAAATAGAATTCCTGAACAGACCAATATCAAGTACTGAAATTGAAGCAGCAATAAAAAAATCTTCCTAAAAAGAAAATCCTGGACCAGATAGTTTCACACCATATTTTGACACTGGGTGTGGTGGCTCATGCCTGTAATCCTAGCACTCTGGGAGGCCAAAGTGGGAGGATCTCTTGAGGTGAGAAGTTTGAGACCATCTTGAGCAAGAACAAGATCCTGTCTCTACTAAACATAGAAAAAAAAAATTAGCCACGCAATTAAAAATAAAAAGAAACAAACAAAAATTAGCCAGGCATGGTGGCAAGTGCCTATAGTCCCACCTACTTGGTAGACTGAGGCAGGAGGAATGTTTGAGCCCGGGAGTCTGGGGTTGCTGTGAGTGAGACTGATGCCTGGGCACTCCTCTAGCCCAGGTAAAAGAATGTGACTCTGTCTCAAAAAAAAAAAAAAAATTGTTGATGAAGATGTAGAGAAATTGGAACTCTCATGCACTGGTAGAGGGACTGTACAATGGTGTCACTGCTGTTTAAAATACTATGCTGGTTGCTCAGAAAATTAAAGATAAATATTATGTGATCCAGCAATCCCACCTCTGGGTATGTACCCAAAGGCATTGAAAACACAATCTCAAAGAGGTATTTGTCCACTCACGGTCACAGCAGTGTTATTCACAAGAGCCGAAAGGTGGAAGTAACCCAAGTGTTCACCAGTGAGGAATGGATGCACCAACTGTGGTCTGTCCACACAGCGGACTGTTATTTTGCCTTAAAAATGAAGCAGAGTGTTACGCACGCTACCACATGGATGAACCTGGAGGACGTGTGCTGAGTGAATCAGCCAGTCGCAAAAGGTAAATACTGTCAAATTCCACTTACATGAGGTACCCAGAGTAGTCAAATTCATGGAGACAGGAAGTAGAAGGGTGGTTGCCGGGGTTCGGGGGGAGCACGGGGATTAGGGAGTTAATGCTTCTTGGGTACAGAGCTTCGGCTTCCGGGATGAGTTGTGCAGATAAATGGTGGAGATGCTCGCACAACAGGGTGGGTGTCCTTCACACCACTGAACTGTGCATGTAAAAGTGCAAGGCTGGGAGGTTGTTTGTTAGGTGTATTTTATCAGAATCAAATAAGGTTTTAAAAATTTAATGAAAACATTGATGGAAAAATAAAGGCAGGGATGTAGGGCAACTGTTAGTAACAGTTTCAATTGACGGAGCCACTTTGAGAAAGATATTTGGCAGTAACAATGCATGCCCCATGGCCTAGGAATCTCACCTTTAGGGACACACCCAAGAGATATGCCTAAGTGTGTCTCCAAAAAGGAAGGTGCACAGGTGTTCTTAGCAGCCCTGTGGATCAGAGCCCCAAACTGGAAGGAACCGAAGTGTGCACAGTAGCCTGGGTAAATCTATTGCTCTGTATTCACACAGCAGCATAATAGACAGAAAAGTGGATGAAGGATGCACAGTGTGCAACAGATGAGGAATCTCATGAACAATATTGAGCTGAGGAAGTCAATACAGAAGAGTTTACGCTCAGCGATTTCCTTTATAGAAACGACAGCAACAAGCAAAACTGAGCTGTGCTGGGAGAAGTCAGGGTAGTGGTTTCCTTGGGGCAGGGGCTGGACATCAGCTGGGTCTCCAGGAGAGGTTGTGGTGCCAATAATCTGTTTCTTGATCTGGGAACAGGAGACAGCATGTGTTCAATATGTGGAAAAAATATTATAAATTGCATATCTGTGTGAATTATACTACAATTAAAACTTTTTAATTTAAAAACATCAGATTGTGTATGAAGCCCAGGAGGAAAGAGGGACCTTCAGGCTGTCGTGTCTTCCCCAGCAAAAGCAAGTTCGCAGCGACCACGTGGTCCTCTGTGTGTGGAGCAGCTGCCACCGGGCTCTTAGCAGCGCCCCTGCGTCAGGGTGAGAGCTGAGGCCCAGGGCTCCACCACGCTCCTGGTGAGCTACAAACTCGGCCATGACCACCTGAGTGCCAGGGTCACCTTCGCTGCCTACCTGCCCCTCAAGGTGAGACCACCCTCCCTGCCCCCTCCTTCCCTGATGTGAATTACTCACTTGCTCTGACAAATCTGTGTGAAAACCCAATGGTTCAGAATAGCTTTTGGCATAATTCTGTCTCCCTGTGAATTTCTGGCTGAAAGTAGGAATCGATGTAGAAGGAGCAGAGCCTCCCCCATTGGGGACAGAGGTTGCTGACATCCATGTGGTCCCATGAGACAGTGCTCGGCAGGCTCGGCAGGGTGCTGATCTGCCAGGCTGTCCTTGCGAAGGCAGGAGTGTGGGCTCCAAAGGCTTTGAAATGCTTCCAACTGGGGTCAGTACACAGGGGCACTTCTGGCCCACTCCAGACTTACCCTTCAGGGTCCCCACAGATCTCCAGAATTGGGACGGTGGCCTTTGGTGTGTCAGATTCCAGGGACTCCCAAGACCGGGGTCCAGAGTGGATTCTGCCACTTGCCTGACATCTGCGAATCCCTCTTGCCCCCTGAGGAGGGAGGTGGTCGCGGCGTGCGCATGCGGAGCACACGGCCTCAGCCTCCACTCCGGCCTCCCGAAGCTGAGTCCAGGTCTGACAAGAGCAGCTCTGTGCTCTGCTCATTTAATGTCTCTGGCCTCACATTCCCAGCCTGTAAAATGGGGCTAGACAGCACCTACCCCATAGGGTTGTGCTGAGAATGAACTGAACTAATAAATGGAACGGGCTGGAAAGCAGCCTGGGAGGGAGTGAGTGCTCAGTCAGGGCTCATTAGTGAGACATGACTAAAAGGAAGTGGGCCTTCCTCTGGGGGTGGCTGTGAAGGCTTCGCACAAGGGCTGCAGCTGCACCAGTTACCCACTGTGTGAGCCCAGCCTCATCCACAAAGGCCCGGAGAGGGTGATCTGTGGGGAGTTCCTGCTCCTGGAGGAGCCCCCGTCCTCCAGCCTGGGCCAGGCAGCCCTTGCATTTCCTGCCACCCAGAGCCAACCTCGCAGACAGCGCTGGTCCTCATAGTCTGTAATGTTTTTCTCCCTCTCTCCTGGTAGAAGCAAGCTCAGTGACCTTAGGATCCTCCATGTCTGCCCGTCTAGCCCTGGGCATAGTGCCTGGCACAGAGCAGACACCAACCAAGGGGGTTTGTTTAGAATGAACGAGTGAGGAAATGTGTCCAGGGTCCTCCAGCCAGGGCTGACGCCAAGGCCTCCTGACCTCCAGAGCAAACACAGCAACACCTGCAGGCATCTGCTGGTGACCAAAGGCCTAGCCCTGCCCCTCCTGCTCACCCACCCAGTTATGCAGCTCATATCTGTGAACCAGGAAGCCCTGGGCTGGAGCCGGGGGCCTCCTGGCCTCCTGGCTGGGCCTAGACACCCCGACGGGATCCCTCCAGGGCCTTTGCACTCATGCTCTGCACCCTGGGGGCTCCATGTCACTGGTGACGCTCAGGTGTTCCTCAGCTTGAGGTCTCTGCTCCCTGAGAGCTGCTCTCCCTCCCAGACCCTCCTTGCCTGTGGCACCCCCCCTGCACCTGCCACCTTTCTGTCCTTCACTCACTCTTCCTTGAGGACAGTCACTGCACCCCCAGTGCCTTGCACGTGGCTGGTGTAGAGGGGGTGCTCAAATAATCCGACTGTGGGTGGGCCATATCTGGGCCAGGTCTGGCAATCTCCCTCAAATGACATTTGGCAGGAAACAGAGCTACGCAATGTGCCACCCAAGGCATTGGGGGCTGTCCTTGTCCTCTTGGGAGACAGCTGTGAGGACTCTTCCCATGGGACCCTCCCCCACATCTGGCCTGGCCAGTGGCTTTCCTATTTGCCCACTCCCCATCCACTGCCCCATCCACTCCATCAATGCAGTATCTCCCACGTGCTCCCAAGCCGGCCTTCTGCTGTGAGGTCCTGAGGGTTGGAGGTGTGTGTGAGTCACCCACCCTGTGTGGCCTGGCAGGGTGGGGTGGGGCTGGCATCTGAGCAGGACTGTTACTCACTTCACCTCTGGAGTCTGGAGTGGAGGAGCCGGCAACTCACTTTGCCTTGGTCGAGGGAGACCTCGCAGGTGACATGGCCATTCAGCTGGACTCAGGAGAACCCTGGTTTTATTGGGTTTTGCGTCCCGGACATAATGAGCAGCCAGGACCTGGGGCTTCTAGGCCTGCTCTTCCCCAGGGGCAGCCTGTGGGCAGGCGTGGCGTTGGCCTGCAGTTGGCCATGGCCTCCTGGATCTGATGGTGTTGGCCTTGCCCCTTCAGCACGACCCTCCTGTGCCCATGTTGGCCTCCATAGACCTCATCCTGGTGGAGGACGTGAAGGTGACTCTGGAAGAGGTGACCATCTACAACTACTCTGGCATCCAGGTACAGCCCTTGCCCTGACATGGCCCTGCTGGGGCAAGACCCACCGGGCGGCCCTTCACCCTCCAACACGCAGCCCAACCCCTCCCTGCCTCTCCCTCCTGCAGGCGGAGCTGCACATCAGAGAAGGCTCAGGATACTCTTCCTCAGCACGAGCACTGCAGAGGTTGTCAAGGTGGCCTACCAGGAGGCCAGGGGAGTGAGTCGCCGTGGTGAGTTGGCTTTAGTTCCTCATCTGGGCCACTCTGTGGTTAGTGGATTGATTATTTGAAAAGCTGGCACTTAAGTCACACCAGCTATAATTCACAGCATCTTTAGATTCTCTGATTCATGCAGCAACTTTAGTCATTGCCATGCTACCTTTGTGGGTTTCAATCCATATCCACAAAGTACTCGTGCTGTTAGTTACCTAATGGTTTCCTTTCAATGATCATTTAGTTAAGACAAAATATTACTTCATATGCAGCACTATAATAATCATAAAGAAAATTGTTTTTGAAGGATGCATCATCTTTTTCTGTTGATATTTTTCCCATGTTATTTCTTGACCCTCTCCCTATCCTTGCAAGTATTGACTTAGCTATGCCATGGGATGGAAGATTAGCATTCTGCCTTATTCAATTATGTTATACTAAGATTTTATATCTTTCCAGGTTGCAATATAGGCTAAGTGATTATTTTTATGCAATCATTTATACTTTAGCCATTCCGTTTTTTCAGAGCATGTGGGTTAAAGCATCTTGTTTTTTAAAAAAAATATACAAAAGCATAGAATAAAAAGAGTAAAAAGAAACAAATGCCAATATTCTACATATCTGCATATCTGCATGATGGATATCTAGGCAGTCATGAAAATTGAACTTACTTTTAAAGGAAGCTCTTACCACTGAATGTTTAGTAAAACCACTCCCGTTAAGCCATAAATACCAAGGCTCAGCACTGACTTCCACCTGTATGATTTCAGTATAAAATTAGAGATGGGGACCAGGCTGAAGGACAGTGTGAAGGAAAGATTCTATGCTGTGCAGCAACCTGCACAAGGGTGCTTGATGAATTTCATGTATGAAAACACCACATGTAACCACAATCCAGATCAAAATACTGAACATTTTCAGTGCCCCACAAGATTCTAGCATGCTACCTCCTCGCTATAACCTCCCCTCACCCAAAAGTAATAATGATCCTGTCTTCTACCCTGTCTTCTACCTCAGAGATTAGCTGTGCCTGTTCCTAAACTCTGTGTAAATGGAACAATACAACATGTACCTTCTTGTATCTTTTCTGTGTATGAGACTCACCCATGTTGTTACATGTAGCTGCAGTTTGTTTTATTTCATTCCTGTGCAGTGTTTCATTTCTTGCAAGTGTTACCACTGATGTTTCCATTCCTTTGCTTTGGTTGTTACAAAGTATATGATTTTTGTGGTCATGTGCACTTTTTTAAACGAATAGACTGTGTTTATTTAGGGAAATTATAAGTTCACAGCAAAATTGAGCTGTGTGAAAGTCCAGAGTTCCCATATCCCTCCTCCCTCCCCCCACAAAAGCACAGCTGCCTCCACTACCCACATCTCCCGGCAGAGAGGTGCATTGTCACACTCAATGAACCTGCACTGACACATCCCTGTCAGCCAGCTGACTCCTTTAGCATTAGGGCATGCTCTTTCCTACATCCCTGATAACTTTTCTTGCTCTGAACTCTGCTGTGATCCCTGCTTTCTTTTGATTAGTGTTAGCATCATGTATTTTTCTCCATCCATTTACTTTTCATCTGATGTGTCTTTGTATTTAACCCTTTGCACTCGCTTGCTTTTTTCTCTTGCTGCTACCGATGCTAACCATGTTGAGTCACACTTGACATCCAAGTGCAAAGGGTTAAAGTGGACTTCTGGGAGACAATGTAAAGTCAGATCTTGTTTTTTGGTGCACTCTGACAATCTTTGTCCTATATTTAAACCATTGACATTGATAGTAATCATTGATAGAGTTGGATTACTATCCTACTACATTTGTTACTATTTTTTATTCTCTGCCCTGGTTGTTTGTTCTTATTTCTGAATTCCCTTCCTTTTCTGGCTTTTGAAGTTTTAATCAATCATTTGATATGAATCCATTTTTTCTCCTTTCTTTAGATATTTCTTTTTAAAACTTTTTTTAGTGGGGGTGCTAGAGTTTTCAACTAATTCAAGTCAACTTTCAAATAACACTCTACCCTTCATGGGGGGGTACAAATACCTTATAATAAAAAGAGAATCCTATGTCTTTTTTCCTGTCCCTTGTGTCATTGCTGCCATCCAGTTCATATACACATCAGCACACACATCTACTTACACTGAATGCATGCTGCTACAATTATCTTGAAGAAACTTGTCTTTTACATCAATTGAGAATAAGAAAAATAAAAGTTTTCATTTTTCCTTTACCTATTCTTTCACCAATGCACTGCTTTTTTCTACATAGATCCCAGTCTCTGCACTATATCTTGTTCCTTCTCTCTAAAGAATTTCCATTAACATTGCTTGCTAGGCAAGTCTACTAGCAACAAATACCCTTGGCTTTTGTTTGTCTGACAGACTTCTTTATTTCTTCTTCACTTTTTAGAAATAATTTTGAAGAGAATAGAGTTCTAGATTGGTGGCTATTTTCTCTGAACACATCCAATATTTCACTCTACTCTCTTCTTCCTTGCATGATTTCTGAACAGAACCTGACATAATCCTTATCCTTGTTTCTCTATAGATAAGGGTTTTCCCCCATACCCCATGATCTGCCTTCATTCAAGATTTTTTGCTTTATCTGTGATTTTCTGCATTTTGAATATGATATGCCTGGGGGTATGTATGGGTATGTTTTTGTTTTTTTTTCTTTTTTACATTTACCCTGCTTGGTGTTCTCTGAGCGTCCTAGATCTCTGGTTTGGTGTCTGACATTAACTTGGGAAATTCTCAGTCATTATTGCTTCCAGCATTTCTTCTGTTCCTTTCTGTCCTTCTTCTCTTTCTTGATTCCCATTATATGTATGTTACACCTTTTGTAGATGACACACAGTTCTTGGATATTCAGTTCTGGTTTTTTTTCAGTCAATCCTCTTTCTTCTCAGTTTTGGAAGTTTCTGCTGGTGTATCCTTGAGCCCAGAGATTCTTTCCTCATCTATGTCCAGTCTAGCAATGAGCCCATCAAAGGCATTCTGTTCTCAAGTTGTGGCTTTGCTAAGCTTTAGTAAATCAAGGCACAAAGAATTTCAAATTTTAATTCTGTGGATTTTTATTGAACATAAAATACTAGAGTTAGAAACTGACTCTTCTTTGTTATGGCCATAGGTTTTTTCTAAAAGACAGTCAGAATTTGCACTTCACAACAACCCCAAACCAAAATGTAACTACTGAGTAACTGTCATCAACACCTGACATGAAGGGCTGGCTATTGTGACACCATAGGCTTGATTGAGGCCTTTAGATAATTGAAGTTGTCATGTACCTTTGTGATAATAAAAACATATATCTTTACTCCAACAGAAACACATATCTCTACACAAAATCATGGAAACTAAATACCTACTGCTGAAGGATTATTCAGTTAAGAAGGAAATTAAGATGGAAATCAAAACATTGTTTGAACTAAATGAAAAGGGGGACTACAGTTATCAAAATCTGTGGGGCATGGCTAAAGCAGTCCTCAGAGGAAAACTTATAGCCATACATGCCTACATCCAAAAGATACAAAGATCACAATGTAATGAATTGTCTCAAAGAACTGGAATAGGATGAGCAAAGCAATCCCAAACCCAGCAGAAGAAAAGAAATACCCAAGATCAGAGCAGAACTGAATGAAATTGATAACAGAAAAGCTATATGGAAGATTAATAAAACAAAAAGTTGCTTCATTGAAAAGATAAACAAAATTGACACACCTCTTGCCAGATTAACCAGAAGCAGAAAAGAAAGGACTCTGATGAGCTCAATCAGGAATAAAAAAGGAAAAATTACAACTGATATCATGGACATAGAAAATGTCATCTCTGGGTACTATATAAATCTCTATACACATAAGCTTGAAAACACGGAGGAAATGGACAAATTCTTAGCAACACACAGCCTCCCCAGGCACAATCAGGAAGATATAGAATTCCTGAACAGACCAATATCAAGTACCAAAATTGAAGCAGCAAGAAAAAAACCTTCCTAGAAGAAAAAGTGCTCGGCCATATGGTTTCACACCTGAATTCTAGCAGACTTCCGAAAAAGAACTGGTGCCTATCCTGCAGAAGTTATTCCACAACATGGAGAAGGAAGGAATCCTCCCAACACGTTTTATGATGCCAATATCACCCTGATACCAAAGCCAGGAAAGGACTCAACAACAACAACAAAAAAGAAAACTATGGACCAATATCTATCATGAATATAGATGCAAATACGCTCAATAAAATCCTAGCAAACTGAATTCAGGTGCTTATTAAAAAAATAATCACAACCAAGTGGGCTTCATCCCAGAGCTGCAAGGATGGTTCCACATACACAAATCTATATATGTAATTCACCACAGAAATAGAAGTGTGTCTGTAGGAGCGTGAGTGGACCTGGAAGCTCTTCTGAAACTATGTCACACTGGAGGAACCACAGTCTCTTTCAGCAGAGGAGAACAGGTTTCTGGGTTCTGACTTCTACGCCCAGCTCTGCTCCCACCTGGCTGAGTCTCCCTGGGGATATCACTCAGAATCCCTGAGCCAGGTTCTTCAACAAGAAAAGCAGAGATTAAGATCATACCTGATGGGTGCAGTGCGCACTGTCTGTAGGATGGACATGCTTGAAGCTCTGAGTTGGGTGGGACAACGGCAATATATGTAACCTAAACATTTTTACTCTTGTAACATGCTGAAATTAAAAAAAAAAAGTAAAAAAAGAAAAACCACAGAAGCCATCTCAGGGCTGCTGTGTCCTACCTGAGGGCAGAGGATGTGAGGTTCTGGACTCACAGAGAATGCCAGTTGGCTTGGGGACCCAGAGAGTGAAGCTGGATCTCCCCCACTAGTCCTACGGTCAACTCCCAACTCAGATCCTGCAGCTGTGGAGTGGACTTCCCAGAAGGTAGTGAGCTCCCTATCACCAGAGGTATTCAAAGCAGATTTAGACAGTCACCCTTCAAACCGGGAGCCAGCAGCCACGAGTGCTTGAAATGTCACTATCCTGAACTGCGATGTGCTGGAAGTGTAAAACCAGCACCAGATTTCAAAGACTTATTATAGAAAAAAATATGTAAAATATCTCTGTATTTTATATTGATTACATATTGAAATGATACTATTTGGGATAAATTAGAATAAATAAAATAGCTTATTAAATTTAATGTCACCTCTTTTTACCTTTTTGATGTGGCAACTAGGGAATGTTGTATTACATGCCTGGCTTATATTACATACTATTTCAGTTGCGCAGCGCTGGGCGAAATCCTTGCTGCTCAGATGTGGTTCCTGGACCGGCAGCATCCGCATCACCTGGGCACTGGTTGGAAATGCAGAATCTCAGGTCCCGCCCCAGCCCCACGCAGGGAATCAGAAGCTGCATTTCCGCACACTCCCCACGTGGTTCATGGACACACTACAGTGTGAGGAGCCCTGCAGAGCCCTTGGCTGGAGGTCTCAGAGGGGCCCCATCTTCAGGCAGAGGGGTGGGAACGCCTGGCCTGAAGCCCAGCGCACATCATGGGAAACACTAAGTAACTGATGCTTTGTCCCTTAGTCACACACTCAGCCTGGGGTGTCCTTTAAACCCAGCTCTCTCACCAGCAAGCTCCCACACACTCTAAAGAGAAGAGGGCAGCTTTGCAAGAGATTAGGCTGTCTTGCTAGAAGTGAGCACTCTCACAGAACACACCAACAGCTGCCCTGTAGTCTTTAAGGGCTGGGAAATAATCTTTGAAAACAAGTAAAAAATAGGTCTGTGTGTTTAAAACCAAAACCAAAACACGAAACTTAACCACTTCCCTGGCACCCTGCAATTCCTCCTTCTGTTTCTCCCTGAAAACTTGGATAACAAGCATTAAATGGCACTAAATATAGAAATGGTGAGCAAGTAAACCACTCAGAGAGGCCACATGTTGCCCAGGGCCTGTGTTATGGGTGAGTTGTAAACCACTGAGAGCTGGGTGCTGTAATTGGAATGCTGACAGCCTCCCAATTGGGAAGCACCCAGGGAGGATCGGGGACAGGAACCCATCCCCATGGAGGGGGTGCGGGGAGGTGGGGCTTTTCCAAAGGCAGATTAGGCCAGGTTCAATGTCCACCCTTGTTGTGCAGGACACAACGAAACTCAAACTCCCCACTCCCTGACACACCTATCTGTGACCTCATCTTCTCCCTGACAGCCACACTGGCCTCTCTGCCTCTGGGCTCTTGAACTAGCTATTCCCTCCGACTCAAACACAATTCCCCAGAGGGCCTCTTCCTCACTGCCTGTTCACAACTCGCCTTCTCAGAGAGGCCTCTTCTGACCACCCACAATATAATGCCTCTGCCTGTCATATCTGCCCTTTCATCTTGCTTTATCTTTTCATCACAGCATTTATTACTCTATGATGATATAGATTCTACATACACTCTATTATTTGTTTGTCATCTGCCTTCCCCTAGAATGTCAGCTCCATAAAGGCAAGTACCATGTCTAAACCTAGAGTCTAAAACAGACCAGACACATAAGTAGGTGCTTAGTAAATATTTTTTGAATGACTGAATGCATGGGTTTTCAATGCTTTCTTTCAGTTATTGTGGTGATCTCACTGAGAAAACGCCCAACTTTCCAGCAATGAGCTCAGCTTTTCACTCATCTTTTCACCCAGCCATTGTTCTAAATAACGATTCATCCATCCATCCATTCATCCATCCATCCAACTAGCCAAGCACCCATCTAAACAGCTGCTAGTGTCTATTCACCTAACCATCAATCCATCCAGCTATAACCATACATTCAGCCATCCTTCCAAATACTGTCTAACCACACTTCCAATATCTATGCATCCACTATCCATCCACATATCCACCATTCAGCCATCCATGCATCCAAACCAACCCTCGCGATTGTTAGACCTCCTATTCTGGGGCCCACAGTCCCCTAGTTCATGCCGTCATGTTTATGTGCAATAATTCACACTTCTCCCTTATAATCAGAATGTGAGCCCCTCAAGCAGAAATTGTGTCTTATTTATCTCTAATTTCCACGCCCAAATGGAAATGTCTGCTGAACGAATATGTTCCTCCTTTTCCCTCATTTCCTTGTTTAGCATTTCCTCCTAGACTGGTGTGATGCCATGTTTTCATCATCTTTACTCTCTAAAATCTTGTACCTAACATAAAGAAGATACTTTATAAATATTAAATGAATGAACGAACAAAATAGAGGAAGGATAGCAGGAGTGTGGACTCTTCTAGCCTCACTGCCTAGAGTCATATCCTGCCTCTCTATGTATTAGCTGTGTGACCTTGGGTGAGTCACTGAGCCTCTGCGCCTCAGTTTCCCCATTTGTAAAAGGGACATGATGGTGCTTACCTCACTGGGTTGTTCTGAGAATTTTATGAATCAATATATATGAGGCACGAGAGTATCTAGAGTAAGACAAAAGCTATATACGTGCTTTAAAATAAAATATCCATTTACTGCTAGCCCATAGGAACAGAGATAGGAAGGTGGGAAGGAAGCTTCCGTCTGAGCCTGTGCTGTCCCACAGGAGGCCTTTCACTGCAAGCGCTTGACTCTTCCCAGACACAATGAGATTACTTGGCAAACTACCAATATTATGTCAGGTGGTCACGCGGGCTATGTAGGAAAATAAAATGTGGGAGGCAACAGGAAGTGGTGAGAGAGACGGGAGGGCAACTTGAAATAGGGTCGTCAGGAAAGGCCTCCTTGATAGGTGACGTTTGAGCACAGACGTGAGGAGGTGAGGGGCGAATGTCTGCGAGGAGAGCATCCAGGCAGAGGGAATGGCGAGTGCAAAGGCCCTGAGGCAGGGACATGGCCGCTGTGTGTGAGGAGCTGTGAGGAGACCTGTGTGGGTGGGATGGGCAGTGAAAGGGAAGGAGAAGGGGCATGGGGACCCAGGTCACACAGGGCCCTGTTGGTCACTTGGGCTTCTACTCTGAGAAGGAAGGGAGCCATTGTGAGGTTATGAGCAGAGGGGGACAAGAGTGAACCCACATTTGAAAAGACTGCAGGGGCCAAGTACCGAGCCTGCTGGGCTACTCCAGAGAAAGGATGCTGGTGGGTAGGACCCAAGGTCAGGGGGTGGTTGTACCACTACAGGGAAGAGAGGCTGGTGGCTTAAACCATGGGATTGGGGCGCAGGCTGGCACAGGGGCAGATGCTGGATGGATGTTGTAGGTAAAACTGACATATTGCATGTGGGTGTGAAAGGAGAACAGTCAAGGCCAAGGCCAAGATTGTGACCTACACAACTGGAAGGATGGAGCTGCTGTTTACTGAACAGGGGAGGGGATGAAGGCAGGAGCCAGATTGTGGGGGACAGATTGGGAGTTAGGTTTGGGCTAGGTGAGCTTTAACATGTCTGAGTGCCACCTGCCTGTCAGAGTGCCCAGCACAGAGCAGGGATGGGGATCCATGGGCAGCACTCACGCAGGCTCCATTTCTGGTCTGGCTGTAGAACACAGCAATGCTTTTATTATGAGAAATGAAGACATGCTCTGTAAGGTCTACCAATGCTGGGCTGGGCCACAGGAGGACAAGGGAACCTCTCCAGGCCACAAGTTGAAGACAGAACCAACAGCA